CTCATAGGAAGAGGATGAAAAGACAAGCAAACAGACTGGGATAGAATATTTGTCAACCACATATCTAACAAAAGAGTTGAATCTAGAATATATAAAGAACTCTCAAAATTTCACAGTAAACAAATGATCCAATCAGAAAATGGTCAAACAAGAATAGACATTTCACCAAAGAGGATACACAGAAAGTACATGAAAAGATATTCACCATTATAAGCCAATAAGAAAATGCAAATTAAACCACAGTGAGATATCACTACACACCTCTAGGAATGACTAAAACAAAAAAAGTGACAAAAGCAAGTGCTATTGTGCAAGGAGATGCAGAAACTAGATCTCTCCAATATTGCTGGTGAGAACATAAAATATTACAGCTATTCTGAAAATGGTGTGGCAATTTCTTAAAAAATTAAACATCCAACTACTATATGATCCAGTACTTTTGGGCACTTATCCTAGAATAATGAAAATAAATGAGCAATTATCCTAGAATATGACTTATGGTCATAGAAACACCTATACACAAATGTTTATAGCAGCTTTATTTTTAACAGCCCAAACCTAAAAACAATTCAGATGTCTTTAAATGAGCAAATGATTAAACAAATTATGATATAACCATACCATGGAATACTATTCAGTAGTAAAAAGGAAAACACTAGTGATACATGCAACGACCTGAGTGAATCTCCAGACAATTTTGCTGAGTAAAATATGGCAATCCAGAAAGGTTATGCACTGTATGATTCCATTTATATAAATCCTTGGAATTACAAAATTATAGAAATGAAATTCAGATTAGTGGTTAACATGGGTAAAGAAGTGATTGGGGGTAGAAGGATGCAGGTGTAGGTATAAAGGAGATGTTAGGGAACATTGTGGTAATGGAAATGTTTTGTATCTTGACTACAACAATGTCAGTATCCTGATTGTGATATTGTACTATAGGTTTGAAAGATGTTACCATTGGGAGGATACTAGTTAAGAGGACATCAGATCTCACTGTACTATTTCTTATAATCATGTGTATCTACAGTTTTGTCAATATAAAAAGTTTAATTAAAAAACTATTTTTATATATTTAAAAATACTAGGTGCACAACAAATATTTCATTGAATTAATGAATGAATGAATTAAATACTTATATCATCTTTACATAAACATATCAGTTATTAGATAACAAAAATGATCAAATAAAATTAAAGGACATAAAACAAATTTGGTGTACTGCAGATGGTAAATATTTGTTCAGTGAATGATTAAACTAATATAATATTCCAAACTACTGATTTTGAAATCATACAAGCAGAAGTAGTAAATAATTTTCTTTAGGACAACAAAAACAAATGGAATCTAGCATTCTAATCTAACTCAGACGCTATGGGTAAATAACAATGAATGCCACGTACACTGAATATAGCTGACGTTTAGATTAATACTCTGATGTGTTTTATTGACATTTGAGGGAATGATAGTCATTTATAGAATTACCATTTTTTTAATTCACAACTTACAAAAGTTGGGGAAAATCACAAAGTTTTTAAAAATATGACTTTAACCCTCTCTAATCTTATTAACTAAAGCCCTCATTTCTGTGACGCAAAAAGATTTTTAAATAATTACATAAAACAGAAGATGACTTCTGCCTTTCAAGAATTTACAATCTAAGAAGACAGCATGGTCATATCCTAAACATATGAAAATGCATTTTTCCACTTGTATGATATACCGCCTTGTACAGTGCCTTGGGCATACAAAGTACTAAAATATTTAGTCTATTAAAGATTAAAAAAAATAAACTGCCAATATTATTTGGAAAAGAAAAATATCCTATTGTGTGCTATGATTGATTGGGAAATAATTCTAGGTTGATATATACCTTTAAATATTCTTTAATCTGCTCAAAGGCTGGTGAAGGCTTTTCAGTGGGAGGTTAAAAAAGTAAAATTTTGCACTTGTTAGGAAAAAAGTCTGCATGAAAAATTAAAAATTGTAAGTGATGGTGGGTGAATAACAAAACTTAAACCAAAGTGAGAAAATTAAAGACCATAACATTTTTTAAAATAATAAATATAAAGCGACTTGTCTAGGTATTAAAGCTAGAACACTCATTTGTCCGATTTCTAAGACTGTCTCTATAAAACACTCGCTTTTGAATTAACAATGTTTGAGGAGTCATTATAAATGGAGAAACAGAAGTTGTGTTGTTAGAAGTTTAAAGTCACAGCTGTGCATTACACAAATTGCCAGAGATACAGGAAAGATGGTTAAGAGATGATTACAATAAGCCACTTCCTTCAGAGTAGGCACTATGGGTTTTCTGTGCAAAGTTATGCACTTCTACCACTGTTATCTCATGATACTAGTTCATGCCTGTACTAAAGGCCTCATTAGAAAGTTATGATTATTTGATACCTATCTAATTCCTACACATATTAATCCTATGATTATGAAATTGACCAAAAATATTGCATATCAATTCTAAGTTTATATAACAACTTTAGTTCTATAGGTAAACATTAAATAAAACAAAATACAATCCAAACTGCTTGGAATTGTCATTAAATTTAATAAAATTGTATTAGAAATGATGTGCAAGGTGTTATGTACACATATTCATTCCTAGCGCTTGACACATGATAAGGACTTCTAACCCATTTCCTTCTAACCCATTTCCTGCCCCGAGAATACTTGCCACTGGCGCTAGCAGCTATATTGTTTATCCCAGAGATAACTCACCAATTACAGTCCTAACCTTACCCCCAAAATTTGCCATGAAATCTCGTTTTTATTATTATTTTGGTATCGCTCTAATACATCGACAGTCTTTGGAAAAAAATGACATCATTCTAGTTACAGCATTCTGTTTTTGGTAGTGGTATTCCATTTACAAAATATAGTAATTCTCATTCGCTAAAAATGTCAAATCCTAGATGTCTGCTTTGTGTGGTTCCATGCTTTGAAATTTACCACATGAAAAATAATGATTAAACACTGATCATCATATATATTTCTGTTACATTAGGATTATAGACAAGTTCTGTTTAGAAATAATTCCAAGAACAGTTTTTATTTTTTATTTTCACATTGAAAACCAGTCAGATTTGCTTCAGCCTCAAAAAGTGCGTTTATGTAGAATTAACACTGGCAAGGAGCTGCACTTTTTTTTCTAACCAGGAAATGGGTTAAATACTGAATGAAGAAGTGGATGAATCCAAGTATGTTGAAGAAAAACCACAGAATAAAGCAAAAACTGGGAATTAAGAAGTAACTTCTACATTATTTGATGATTTGCAGGAAGAAATGGATGCTCTGATGTGTTTTAAATGTAGAACACCAAAGTTTCAAGTATGTGCATTGATAATGCAAAATTTCATCTATACAGCTCACATTATATTAATCATATTTTTCCCCTGTCTGAATAGTACAAGTATGAATACTTTAAGTTAGAACTCTTAGGAGTTTGAGAAGCATCTTATTACAAAAATCTACACACTTATAGGAGATTTTAGTACTTCAATTATAATATCTGTAACTGATAATCACAACTAAGAAATCACAGAAATAATAAATAAATCAATGTAATTTACAATGTCCACGAGAAAAAAAAAAATATTTGCAGAAAATCTTACCTGGATCCATTTATCTGGAATTGCCATGGCTAATCGATAGTCAAAGCCACACCCTCCCTGGGAAATTGGAGAACACAGAGCTGGCATTAAAACATCCTAAACAAAAGATATCAGCATTATCAGTTCATATAGCTTAAATTTTTACTAAATATAAGTAACATTCAGGCCAATAAATAAAAACCATAAATAAGGGCATATATTTTTGGAGTATTTTGGTAGCATAATTGTAAAAGTAGTTAAAATTGTAATAGCATATCTCATTTCTTAAAATGAGAAAAAATTTTGTGTAGGACAACTTTGATCTCATGATACTATATTTTTCTTTTCCTTGGTATAGTAAAACTGCTATTGATAAAACATAGTTTCTTAGACTGATTTTTGAACTACTCTGTGAACATTTTATTAGTTACTACTTTCATGAAACACAAAAATCCATGTAGCATATATCCGTTATACCTGTTCTCTCCGCATATAGCATTGACATGGAGTGTATTTTGTGAGCACTTAGCTCACTTAGCTCATTTCTGATGAAATGTAGAGTTAATACATTAAGAATGAAGCAACAAGATGGTTTTCGGTATAGTCGAATACACTTGGAAAGGGTCTCTGAGGTTATCTAGTGGATCTTCTTCAATCAGAAGATACAGAAACTGAGGTTTATTGAGGTGAAGGAATTAAAATAATCATGTGTTTCAAATGAAGGTTTTGTTCTTTAATATCTAAAGAGCAGTTATGACTATTCTAGAGGAAAAAAAAACCTTAATTTAAAAATATTTTAAATTAATATAAGAAATATAACCATGTGGAGTGGGAGCCATATCTTAGGGGAAAAAGAGTTTCAATTTTAATAATTGTCATTTTAGGACTTTAAGTAAAATTACATTACTTTGTTACGCCACATTGCTTTCTCAAAAAAAAAAGTTCACGAGGATCAATTCCACATTTTAAAGAGACTCCCCACTGGACAGAGAAGTGATGCATTGAAATTGAAGTAGTTTTCAATTTAAGTAGAATAAATTGAAGACATACCTTGTTTAAAAAATTTTTCAAAGTAATATAGGGAGGCTGAAGTCTCAAAGTTTCATTGGTGGAAACACTAGAGAAAAGCTCCCTAGATGATGAAACTATTTTACTTGAAATGAACAAAAAGATCAATGTAACAATTTTAAGTTTTATGTATTAAATAACTTCTTCATTTTTTCCCACTTTTGATTTGTACTGTCATTAATTGTTTATAATAATTTGTCATATGTAGTAACTCTGCTTTGAATTGACATAAATATAATTGACAAAATAAATTTTTGATGCTTGACAGATAAAACTAAAAAATATAAGAGACAGAAAAGAAGTTTAAAACACACTCTGATTCATGTTAAAAGATATTCAATGCATAAATTATTAGCACAAGTATTAGCAAGATTTATAAGTTATGACCAAATTTAAGTAGGTAAAGAATGTAAAATGATCCTGGGTACCAGAATGGCATTATAATTGTTGGGTTTTTAAAAATTCTATATAAGAATTTATTCCATAAATTTAGGATTCATTGCTTTATTCCTAGAAAATATTTACAAGGCAAAGGCCTAAAGAAAGTAACTGTTCCCTATCCAGAGATAAACAGGGAAATCATACCACCTAGTTGGAGAGCTGGGGATTTGAGAAATGGATAAAAAAGGCTATACAAATAATAAATATATGTATTTATATTTATTATAATATATAATATGTATTATTACACATATAAAGGAGACAATCACTACTTCATTTCATTCCAATGAACTAAAAGCCAACAATGTGAAAACGTGTCTTAATTCTGACTTTAACATGGTCTTATTATTTTTAAATGCCAACCACTAGACTTTGTATAGAACAGTTTTAACATAATGAATTCTATATTAATAATAATTCCAAGTCAGAAGACTCAAAAAACCAGAGGGATTTTAGTACTAAATCAAAATTAGCATAAGCATTTAACAAACTTCTTAATTTATCACATTTATCACCAAGAGGGGAATTGTCAATTATGCATATACCAAATTATATCATTACAGTGCAGCTTTGGGACAGTTAATCATGAACCTTCAGTAATCATAAATAACTAGTGAACATTTGGCAATTGGAGAGCAGTAACATAAACAAGAAAGGTAATCTCAGAACAAGAAGGCTTCAGAGAAGCTCACAGGCAGTGATCCATGCCATCTCTAATGACTGAACCAGAAAAGAAAAAAATAAATAAATAAATAGAAGTACAAGAATATTTGATTTTTTTCTCTGCTCAAGGTCTCATGGCAGAAGGTCCTGTCCATTGATTAGGATATTTTACTTTCTAACCACTGGCATTTCCTTTTATAACAAAGCAGTGATGACAAGTAATTAGTGTACACTACCACTTAGTAGGAAAACAGTGAATTCTAAATAATGTGCCACCCATACAAGGTAGCTTCATTGTAGTCAATATACAATTCAGTTATGCAATTACTGACATGATATTAACTATTCAAATATTGTTTGCTGACAAAATGTTCTACATTAAAGAGGATCAGAGGGTAGAGATCATTATGACTTTACCTCAGCTATTGTTATTGACTCTGGATACAAAGTGTGAATCAAATGATTTGCCAACATGAGATAAACCAAGGCATCTTCATCCACCTGTAGTCCAAAATATTCATGGTAATCACCTGAAAAGCCTTGACCTAGAGAACAGAAAATCAATATGGATGCATTATGTTGACACATAAGTCTTAACTCTTCGCAAATGCTCCCACCAATTAGTTTGTTGATATCAGTTTTGTTATCATAGCAAGTAAAGTGTAATGAGCCTGAATACCACATAATGTTACCATCAGCAAATATATAATCTAACTTAAAAAAGTAGTCCTTATCAACATTCAGAGTTAAGACAATTCTCAATTAAATTTTTGTTTTACAAAAGTGAACAAAATCACTTTGAATTAAAATATAATTTATTTCTAACTAAATTTAATGCAGAAAAACAAATCTAATATCAAAGAGAATTCTAAATTGCAACTTTTAGGTAACTTTTTTGTCACTTTAAGAGATGTTAATATTAGCTAGCTTCTATTAGATCTCTCCGAAGTAAAGTATGAAAAATATAAAATTGAGATGTAATGTTTATACCATTTTAAATATGTGCTTCAATTTATACAATATGGATTTCCTATAATGGCAAATAAATTTTAACGCTCTCTAATATCCTTCTACCTCCTCTTCCCTCAACTCCTAATTTTGGTTGCTTATAGTATATTTCAGTGTCACTTACTGAGGTAAAACCATTTACTTTCTATTCCTTCAGTTGTTTACTCTTGTTTTAATAAAATCAAATTAGTGCTCAACACCCACCTTTTTCCCATTTCTCTATATCAAAGTTCTTTATTTTGACTCACAGCTTTTTCAGTTTGCTAGATTTCATCACTGAAGGATATTTCAAGTATAACTACAGAAGTTCTATTCCTCAAGGTCTTTCAAATTTATACCTAAATGGCTATTAAACTATCAATTTCCTGAACCATACTTTGTTTCTCTAAGAATTTTGTAGATATTGCTATTGGCAATAGAGCAGTAGGAACCCAGGCATTTTTTTTATCCATGCTGGTAATTGATTTTAATTCTTAGTTGTCACCTAATAAATGTCTCTTTGTTACTGAATTTTATAAATTAAACACTCTATGTCTTAATGTTAATTGTTTAATATCACTTTTTTTTCCTGGTATGTCTTCTCTGCAGTACAGTTTTTTTTTTTCTTCTCATCATTTCAAAGGGAGAAAACATATTAACTCAGAATGTTACCATTTCTTGGGCTGTCTACTCAGAGAAAGTATATCCCATATCCATGGATTTCAGTTCATTTCTCCAACTCCATAATTTCTTGGAAAATACCTAGCCTTCAGCAGAGGGATGTTCTGCAAGGGCATGTAGATGTTTTATTCTAGAAGAGGATCTTTCTTGAATTTTGCCATACTTGCCTTTTTCATCCCCTAAATAAGCTTCTCCCAAACTTGAGGAAGTTAATGAAATCTGTCATGTTTTACAGGTTGAATTTCATTCCTAGGCACATGTAATGGAGACATCTCCATAACTGTGCTGCATGATTTGCAGATAGCAACATACTTTGAATAGACCTCGTTTCTCTGGCAGCCACTTTGCAAGATTTGTAGTCTAAAATCCTTTTTTCTTTGGATTAGTTGTTCCTGGTAAATATTTGGTCATCAAAATAATTTTTTGCCACGTTACCTACTGAGGAATTAGAATTCTATACAACTTCTTTATACAACTTTTAAATTGAAGATCTCTGATCAATATTTTTAATTACAAATTAATTTACAATTTAATTTTAACTAACTATATCTCTATTTAAAATATGCATATTTTCTTCAATGTCTAATATGCAGCAACCCACACATTCACAAATGTTGATTTATTTTTCTTATTTATTTTTCATTGAAAATGCTGTCATGTTCACATCCTGAGGGTGCTGCAATAAATGGCTTCCTTAAAAAAATTTTTTAGATGAAAGCTACATATTAAGAACAGCATGTTATTAAGTAAATATATATAAAATAAAATAATTATCTTTTTACTTAGAAAATGTATTTATACCTAACCTCTTGCCAAAAAAGGATCAGAAGTGAATGAAGAAAAGACATACAATGGAATGGATAAAAATCAAGCCATCAGTAACAGTCACTACAGTTTCTGTAACTGAACTCCAAAACTTGCTGTAATCTACCAGTAAAAAAATAACATAAAATCATTAGTTACATGTAATAGATCAGGTCACCTACCCATTCCATGGTGATGATAGAGCATGGATGTAACACCATCAAAACGAAATCCATCAAAGCCATATTCTTCCAACCACCATCTTATGTTTGACAGAAGAAATCTTAAAACTTCCCAGCTACAATATTAGAGAAATATATTTTTAAGAACAATGGTATACAGTGTTTCCTTTAATGTTATATATCATTTGCTGAGTATTCATTAAAATTATAAATCTCTATCTTAGGAATCATGATACTCAAATATATCATATAAAAAACAGAAAACTACTAAGATTTTTCTCATTGGTTTCATAAAACTAATTCTAAAAAGAAAAATATTAAATTTATTTAGCTGCAAAAATCACTTAATATCTAAGAAAAATTGAGAAAATATTCAAAGTTCAGTGATTCTGTCTTGTTCAATGTGGTGTCCTCAGCAACCATACAATGATAGCTATACAGTAGTGCTTAAAAAGACAAAAATAAAACAAAAGAAACCTGCTACTTATTTCTGAATTTTCAACAAGATATTTCACGTAATATAACCACAGTTATGTAATTCCTCTTTTAGAAAATATAATTCCACTCTCAATAGAAAAACTGCCTTCAATGTTTGTCTGCTTAAAATATTTCCCCATTCTACAATTTCAAACAGATACAAAACAGAATAAAAAGTAAAAAACAAACAAACAAACAAAAACCTCAAAATCAACCAACCACATCATAAGCAATATTACATTTACTAGACTATTGTTTTGTGAGGGTAAAACAGTACCTAATTATTAAAAAACACATGTCATACAAAGTAAAAAGTTTTACAAGTTAAAGACTCCTCCATCCATAAAACAAACAAACAAACAAACAAACAAACAAACAAAAAACTGTTATAACCCAAGTTAAAAACGCCACCACATGAAACAAGCCTATTTCGGACAATTGAAAAGAGGGCATCATAAATTAGTAGTATTTTTAGTCACATCAGTTATGGTTAAGTCCTCTATCTTATGATAATTGTATTTTTAAGACTTTAATACCTCATTTAGTTTAATGACAAGGCAGTAATAGTGTACACAAATCTTTAATACAGTTGAAATTTATGTATTCTTTAAAACCTTCCATATATTAAAGAGCAATCTGACATAGGTGGCGATTAAGTAATCATGATCAACTCAGGAATTGTAAATCTAAACTTTGAGGAAAGATGAGTGCTGGTGGAAATTAACTGCTTTAAATAAGTTACTTTGAGTTTTAAAAACTAACTTAAAATTAAAAAAATAAATGAAAAAAACAGAAATACAAGTAATCCAGCAAATATGAAAGGGAATAAGGAAGTTCTAGATTGTTGGATCCAAGCTAGGATGAAAATAGAATTTATGTTTCTATTTATTGCATATCCATTTAGAATTTAAGGAAAAAATTCTGTTTTACAAAAATAAATGAATAAAACCAAAGAGATATTGTACAAGTGAACAAGATCAAAATTATTCCATTTTGTATAGGAATTTCTAATAATTTTTTTAAATAGATAAACTTTATTTTTTTAGAGCAGTTTTTGGTTCACAGCAAAATTGAAAGAAGCATATCTATACTTTTAACATGGTGACTATATGACTATTTCAGAGAGAAGACATGAAATTTGCACATCAATAATCCTTTGCAAACAATTTTTTGAAAAAAAAAGTTTTCTAATCTGGCCATTTGATGGATAATGTACATTTACTTCTGGAAAGTAAACTGAAAAATATATTTAGCCTAAAATACCATAGAGTTGGAACAGAATTTGTTTAACCCATTTCTGTTTAGAAATAAAAAAAGTGTAGCTTGCTGCCAGCATTAATTTTATATAAACACGTTCTTTGAGGCTGAAACAAATCTGACTGGTTTTCAATGTGAAAATAAAATATAAAAACTGTTCTTGGAGTATTTCTAAACAGAACTTTTCTGTAATCCTAATGTAACAGAAATGTATATGATGATCGGTATTTAATAATAATTTATTCATGTGGTAAATTTCAAAGCACAGAACCACACAAAGTGGATTTGACATTTTCAGCAATTGAGAATTACTATATTTTGTAAATGGCATACCACTACTAAAAACAGAATTCAGTAAAGAGAATGATGTCATTTGTTTCCAAAGACTATCGATATACTAGAATGACACAAAAATAATAATAAAAATGAGATTTCGTGGCAAACTCTGGGGGTAAGGTGAGGACTGTAATTGGCGAGTTATCTCAGGGTAAATGCTGCAAGTATTCTCAGGGCCAAGAAGAAATGGGTTAAATACTCAATATCTCGGATAGATATATGAAGATATAACTATGTAAATAAGACTACTATTTTATTTAGTTTGCAGAGTACTTTAAATTTTTCAATTTGAATTTATGTAGATGAAACTTTTTTTTTTTTTTTTTTTAGTTCTGTCTAGTCCCTGACACTCCACATTTCTATTCCAACTCTGTTTATTCATTAACATCCCCAGCTTGAACTTGTGGACATTTGTTGTCAATTTCTAACATAAAATATCATGGACTGAATGTTTTACAAGTAGACACAGGTTCAAATGTAAAAAAATGTGTCTTAATGTCTACATTGCCCAGTATTACACAGTTCATTAAAGGAAGAGTTACTAAATGTTCTATTGATTCTTGTTGCAATATTTAATCTATTCTAATGAACTAAAAGAGTAATAAAACTGCACTTAACATATTAAAAGAAAAAACACATATTCAGCTGTAACTACATGTGTAGACAGATTCTTGGCATGGATAAATAGGAATTTCTTGTGATAATAAAAAAATAAAAATAATGACTGGAATATTTAATTAAAAAGTTGAATGGGTTAAAAATACTAAATTATATTCTTTAGACTTCTAAAATGCTCTTAGACTAAAGCAATGTCTAAATAACATAAACAATTATTTAAAATTTCACAAGATTAAACTAAGAATAAAGTAAATTTGTAGTGCTTTCAAAATAATTCATTATATTTTATAAATCATTAATGAAAAATAAAATAGGTGTACTGTCCATGGAGACAGAAAACTAATAACACAAAATTTTACAGAGGAGCAAACCATCTACAACAAAAACAGTATAGATATGAAATCTAGAAAATTTTATTTAACAAAATCTCAAGAAATACATACAGAAGAAAAAGAAGACCTAAAATTTCAGTTAGCAGCAGCAAATAGAAAGCAAAAGTTAAAAATATTGTCTGATTAATATTTTATTAATTTAGAATTTAATTAAAAAATGTATATATAACATATACATTTTTGAAAGCTAGATAATTAAGAAAAGTTAATTTAAAAAAATAGTCATATAGGGGTAACAATGTAACATTTTATAAATAATTAGCCTCTGTTTAGGGAAAAAATAAACTACCAATACAGAAAACACGGGGAAAGACAGACTCATAAATATGTCCCAGTATTTCCATGGTCCAAATTTTGTATTTCTAATCTTAGCATGATAATCTAGACAGACTAATATACTCTTTGTAAACTCAATGTTCTGATGAAACTAATTTTAAAATGCAGATTCCTTCTATACAGGCTGTAAAATCAGGGTTTTAGACAACCAGGAAGGCTGAGGTGTGAATCTATAAAGTAACTGGAGCATACACATGAATACTTGCAAGAACACAATCCAGAAAGCAAAGTTGAAAAAATAGTAGATCATGGAGCACTTATAGTGTCATTGGAATGAAGATGTAGCTTTCTCTCCCTTTTTCTTATACAATGTAAACAACCAACTTAATGTAGACAATATATTTATATTATATAAATATATTATAATATATAAATATTATATATTTATATAATAAACATATTTAATATATTATAAATATATTTATCTCAGATCACGTATTACAATAGGAAAGCTGTGCCAGGGTTACTCCAGGTCACCAAAGGTTCAGTGATTTGCTAGAAGGATTCACAGGACTGAGTATATAGCTGTGCTCCTGGCTATGATGTATTACAGCAAAATGATGAAAAGCAAAACCAGCAAATGGAAACATAAGGCAGTTAGTCAGGTATGAGTGACAGGAGCCAAGGCCCAGTTCTGCAACCACAGAAACTTCCCTTAAGGGCCTTCCTTAAGTACCTTCCAGAAATACCTCCCTTTTAGGGTTATAAATTACCCCAAATCCTAGAGCACAAAGGCCATAAAAGCTGCTTGCCTAAACCAGCTACAAACACATGCGCAGAAAGTACTGCTCCTAACTTCAGCCTCATTATACCATCATTATAATATCATGGCTATGCCTGGAAGTTCATGAATCTAATTATAACAGACTGAATTCTGGGTAAGCACATGCATACTAGGCAAAATGTTATGTAGCACCAAGTGTCAGTCAAGGTAACCTCATATAAGGATCATCTAGGACCTCCCATCATGGCCCAAATATAAACAGACCTTCCCATTTCTACATTGTTACAGCCTTCCTGGTTAGAAACTCACCCTTTCCTTTGGTGTGTACTATCTTATCTTTTCACCTCCTAAATTCCACAGAGCTGCAGCCTTCAATAATTCTCTTTTTCTCAATCTCGCCAACCTGTAATTCTTTGCTGCTTCAGCAGGGAAGAACCGAGGAACAACAACACACAACACCACCATCAACCATACTCCACTATCCTCTACCTCCTCCTCCCTCATGCCACTGGGGCGACACTGGATTTCACCTCACTCCAGTGGTGACAGAAAGATACATGGGGCAAAGTTAAGACGGGTCCAGGCATAAGATTCCAAGAGTCCTCTCCTGATGAAGTCACAGTTAATTCTTCCAGCAACGAATTATCACAACAATTGTAAAATGTTGTCAACCAGGGAAACTCATTAGAGACTCAGTTCTCCGAGAAGGTATCAAAATCTAGACTCCCAGAAGTAAGGTGGGCCTTCAGCACAAGACACTTTGTTTCTATTAAGAATTTAGGCAACAGTCACTGTTTTCAGTTCTGGGAATAGTGAGAACACTCCTGAAATCCAATTCCTAGCTTCTAACCAAGGGACAATCTTGCAAACAGGTGTTTCTGGAGTCTTAATGGTCTTAGTAGGGTTATATTAACTTTTCTACACAAAAGCAGAACATAGCATTTCTTATATAATTACAAAATACTATATGTTACTG